AGAAGAAGAAGAAGAAGAAGAAGAAGAAGAAGAAGAAGAAGAAGAAGAAGAAGAAGAAGAAGAAGAAGAAAGGGAGGGAAGAAGGAAGAAGAGAAGAGAAGTGAATAGAAAAGAAAAGAAAAAAACACAAAAGATAGATGTTACCCTGTGAGCTCCTTCCTGCTGGGTCATGAGATAAACCACCTCAGAGTTGCCTAGGTGATGGACTTCCCAGATGCAAGGGTTCTCAATCTGTCACCTGTAGCTAGAATATAAGTATCTTGACTTGTCTTTGCTGCAAGCCCCCCCACTCCCGCTTTGTTTTACTCTCAGAAGGGATGTGAGCTAGCGGCCATCAATCATATTGTGCTTAGCTTCTAGCTGTGGGCCTCTGGGGAACTAGCATTGCCTCTCTGGGCTCTGCCGTCTCATCTGAAACCGAGAGCAGTGAACGGCTGTTGAAATGAGATGAAATAACGCTGCACAAGTACCTGGTACATTACCGATGTTCCCAAATGCATTAACCTCCTTCCTTGTCTGCTGAGGCCCCATTTGTGGTCACGTGACACTGTCAGCTCGGGAGCGACAGAGCTGAAATGGAGCTGAGTGACATTTGAAGCGGCTCTCTATGGCTCGTTCCCTAGTTAATTGCTGCACAGGTAATCCGTTGACTTGGGAAACGCTGGCCATCGAGAACCACTCCAGGGACATTCTGGTGACATTTTAAAGAGGGTAAGACAGAATGTTCCCTCTGATGATGTAATCCTCACCCAGCAGAAGAACTTAAGTGGCTGAGACAATGGGTCAGAGGGATGGGGAGAAACCCAGCAAGGTGGAGTGGGCTGGCCCCATTAGAACAGCAGACAGGGGATGGACTGAGAACCAGCCCCCCAGCTCCTGCTCCACACCAAATGACAATTCGTACAGACCTCGAGGGAGTCCCCATAGCTGGGAAGGCAACACAGGGAGCAACACAAGAGACACCCTCATATCTGGGACCAATACCCAGAAAGGACACAAAATAGCTGAGTGGCCTGAAGTTGGGGACCAGGTGTGAAAATAAGGTACAACTACAACTGGATGCAGGGTCAATAGAAGAAAAGAAGGGAAGAGGTGACACAGGTGTGGCTCTTCAAGTCTGAGGCTGGCTACCCTATAGGATCTTGCTGACAGAGCTTCGACCTGGGCCAGTCAGAGAAAAGGTCAGGAAAACAACTAGGGCTTCATCAGCAGATCATGTTTTGGAATGAAGCACAAACCTGTGATTGAGGAGTCTGACTTGAGCTAATGACTTTCTCTCTGGACCTCAGCTTTCATGTGTGATTCTTACTGTGATGAGGCTGGTGGTGATGAAAGTGAGGATGTTGGTGGTCGTCATGGTGAAGAGGGCAAGGAAAATGATGATGGTCATGGTGATGTTGATAGTTAGAGTAGCAATGGTGGTGGCAATGGTGATTACCATGATAAGGATGGTGAACATGGTGATGGTGAAGATGACAGGAATGGTGATGGTTTGGGTAGCAATGATGGTCATGATGGCCATGATGATGGTGGTCATGCTACTGATGGCAATCATGGTGATAGTGAAGATGGTAGTAATGGTGATAGTTTGGGTAGCAATGGTGATGATGGTGACGATGGTGGTGGTGATAGTGATGATGCTGGTTATATCGAGGATGGATATGTTCATCATGACAATGATGTTGATGTTGGTGATGATGCATGACAATGGTGGTGATGATGAAAGTGGTAATGATGGTGATGGTGAGGACGATGGTGCTGATGTGACAAAGATCATGATGGTGACAGTGAGGTGTCACTGGTATTGGTGGTGTTACTGCTGAGAAGGAGAAAAAGCTAGAGGTTTGCTTCTGATGGTGGCGACAGTGGTGGTGAGTAAACACAATGCTAAGGACACCTGCTTCCGAGTGAACATATGCAGCAGGCTGGAAGCTTTGACTTTATCATTGACCACCTGCAACCTTGGCCCTGGATGGCTTATTCTATCATAGCTGTGATAAAATCATGTGACGGGGGCAAGAGGGGCCTCTGTAGCTCACAGTGCTAGGGTACAGTCCATCGTGGGGAAAGTGTCGAGGCAGCAGGAGCTGGAGGGAGCTGGTCACATTGTGTGTGCACATTTCAGGACACAGCGAGTGATGGATGTCAGGGCTCAGCTCACTTTCTTTGTTTTTTTATAGTCCATAATCCCTGGCGACAGTTCTACCCTCAGTCAAGATGGGTCTTTCCTTATGAGTTGACCCAGCCAAGATACTTCCCCGCAAGCATGGCCAGAGGCTTGTCTCCCACTTTGTCCTGGACTCTGTGAAGTTGAGGGTAGTGCTACTTCATAGCCTCTCACTTCTTTCCCACCGGTCCCATCTGTGAACATGTGCTGATGGGGATAGTGGCTATCCTCACTCCCACTCCGTGGACTGTCTCAGGGGTTAAATGAGTCAGACATGCACAGAGGGGCCAGGTGACTATTCAGCTGGCACAGTGTTTGCCTTACAAGTATGGGTTCCTGGGTTTGGTTCCCAGAATCCACATAAAGAAAGGCTCCCAGGACTGGAGAGGCGGAGACAAGGGGGTTGGTGCTGAATGCTTAATGAACTCTAGTCATCATTATGAGTGGTGTTATTTTCATTGCTATATCCCCTGAGCAGGTGGTGTGTGTGTGTGTGTGTGTGTGTGTGTGTGTGTGTGTGTGTGTGTG